GGCGGGGGGGGGGGGGCTGTGAGAAGTCATGAGAGACATCTGTCTGGAGCTTGAACCCGACACCTAGTACTCGTATTCCGACAGGTGTGAGGCGAAGAGTTTTGGGTGTCTCAGTTTTCCATCCTCTAGACCAGGGGTGGCCAACCCGCGGCCTTGAACATTTTTCCGACCCGCGAGATTCATCACACTTTTACAAAATGTACGCTTAGTATCATTATTATTATATTATCTATGTTTACATGTAAGAATAATAGTAAACACAATAATAATAACTCATTATGTTTCAATTTTTCACTCCAAAAAAATGTCTATAGTGTATCTAAATCTAATATGGGGATATATAATTTTATATGTGGCCCGCGGAGTTATGATGCATTTCCAAAGTGGCCCGAAAGATCATTTGGGTTGGCCACCCCTGCTCTAGACAACGGGCAGGGAAGTGGGGGCCATCCTTTTGAAATGCTGCCCGGACCAAAACACGAAATTCGTCCTAACTTCGTACTAGTCGTTTGTCCTTTTCACTGTCAGTGACAAATAGTTTGGCCAACTGGTACATGGCCATGCCTACTTTGTTCGTGTGGGGACTGTACCGCCGATCCGAGGTGAGGAGGTAAATGCGTCCCCCCCCCCGCGCTCCCCCACCCCCAACTTCGACAGAATAAAGCATACTGAATGCAGTCATCTACAACCAGTCCAAGCAGACGAAAGTTATTACATTTTAATCATAGTACACCCTTGCCGGTTGCGTTCTTCAAAACCCTCGTGTACTGCAAAACCGCGATGCGCGAAGCTAAGGTCTTATGGGAAAATGGGGTTAGGGGAACAAAAGACGCACGTGACATGAGACTTCAGGCGTGAAATTAATGATCAGTAAACACGAAAACATTAGTGTTGGTGTGTACTGGGATGACGCGTAAACGTTCCTGGCTGAAAGATGTCAGGGTCATCGAACACAAAGGCAAAAGTCAAATCTGAAAACTGCGAAAAGTACAGCCAAAGTACAATCGATTCGGCTCGATGTCTACCGACCTACCTACTGAGACAGGCGGGCTGTTGTGTGTTACTCCGTGTGACCGCGAAAGAGCGAGGGACCTACACCGCGGTGAGCAGATCAGCGAGCGAGGACGATCTGCTGTCTCGCATTCCCAAGCAATTTCCGTCTCGTTCGCAGACAGCGGAGGAGAGACGTCGCGACGGGTCTGAGGAACGCTTCAGGACTCGGACCTAATGCCGCACGGCGACAGGACCTTAACACATTTGTCTTCCGCCGTCTTACGTGCTCCGGACTGGGGTCTTCGTGGATTTCCTCAGTGTCTCCAGGCGAATACAGGATTGCATCTTAAAATAAGCCACGGCCGATTCTTCCACGTAGTTTCCAGTTTGTTCGGTTGTCTGTGACCTTGGTTGTTGAGAAAGTGACGTCAGAAAACCAAGAGTCGACCACGTCACATCACAACGCAAAAGCAAAATAATAAGAAGTAGGTTTTAGGGATTCTGATGAATGGCAGACGGGTTCATCCTGTGACTGTGAGATGCCGTACAATGAGATTTTTGATCGGAGACTGAGGAAGACGGTGCAGGCGGCGGGCCCCAGGATCCTAACCCCGGCGTGAGCGCGGATCAAAACCTCAGAACAGCAGCAACCCCCTCATACTTCTTCACACTCCCCCCACCCCCCACATCCCGTGCCGCGTTTCCTGGCAACCACGGGCGATGCAGACTCGCGATTGGTGGGGACCGAGGCAATGGGCGGAGCCCCCCTTAATGAACTGCGGTCCCAGAAACACCGTGAATTGCTCTCAAACCTTTACGTAATCGGTTGTTCTTGCGTCCCGAGATCTGATTTGAACTCTGTTTGTCCTCGTGCCCTACTGGACGAAACAATCCTCGATTACGTTGTTAAAGCGCCCTGTATCAACTGCGGGAGTTGTTCGGCACCTGCCGACATGAAACGATCATTATGTACCGTGAACTCCAACGCTGTGCGTATGAACAGCCGTGGCCTATTCCAAGACGTAATCCAGGAAGTACTGAGGAAAACCGCGTTAAAATCCCTCAGTCTGCAAATCTTAAACTTGAAATCGATACCATTGCAGCTGATGGTGGGCCACGGCCGCTTTCAAATACGCTCTCTGCTCTAAGCTGCCTCGCGACCTCTGACCGACAGCCAGTCTCTTGTCTTGTGAACAGAGGGTCTCGTTGAGCCGTCTTCCCGTCATTAGGGTCGGCAGATTTCATTACCGCAGCAACTGTAGCCGGCGTAACTCTATTTGCAGGTAGGGCAGCTCCTCGCTCCTGCGTCGCCCAGTTCCCAGATCGCACACTCGAGGCGACTGCATTGTCGGCCTCTGACCCACTACAACGAGGCTCGAGAGCGAATGTGAACATCATGTTCCTCGTTACTTCGCGGGCCTCTCAATCTCAGACCGCCGTTGTTTCAAGTTCCGTATTGTCGAAAGTCCGGTTTTCCCTGCAGCTCGTCCGATGTCCTGCGGCAGCCGCCAATTTGTTCAATGAGTTTGACACAATGTTTCCGCTGTCATATTAAGGTCACTTTTCACTATTTTCCGGGTCCCAGGTGACCTGTGAAGTTGAAGGGAGGGGTGGGAGTGGATGCGTCTGTTACAGGAGAGGGAGCGCACCCTGGGGAAGAAGCTGGATATTACATCGCACTGTTGCCATCTGTCGGGAACACTGCCTCGTATCAGTAACCGGCCCGAAGTTATGGAGAGGGGTGTACAAACCGTCCTTCACTGCAACTTGGATTCCGTTTCAAGAAGTGAGATTATTTGTTCCTTAAAATGTAACTACTGCGCCCCGCGGATAAATCAAGAGATTGCTGATCGTGTAACTGGCACAGCCTGTTCTATTGATATTTCTTTCACAGTTTCTTCAAAGATTTTCTCGAATACTGCGACTATTTGAGGTAGCGGCTAATTTCAAAGTTTTGTCCTGCATTCGGCTAGAGGAAAATCGAGAACAATTTCAATTAGCTATGGCAATCGTAGCTGCGGCAAGTCCTCAACCCGAGTACCTCCCGAAGAATGCTCGGTTCACCCAACACGAAGAACTTCGCGCGAGTAGGGAACGTCAGATAACCTCTGGCTTCACGTCCTCGGCTGCAGAGGGCTCCACTTGGCGCGCGCCCGACTGCCCTGTCGTCACGTAACTTGTAATAAACTCAATTTGTACAAATTTCAGGGCAAGAAATCCTCACAAAGGAACGAAAACATTGCGGGCGGGCGCAGTGGCAGATTGTACCAGCGGGACGTGCTCTGTGCTTCGCCAAGGGCACAAAAGTGTAGTCCAGATGTTTCGAGTGCTTGCTCGATAAAGCTAATGCATCAGTGAAGATATTATCACATTATATTGCGTTCTCCTCCTGTTTTGTTTACCCTTTGATACCGAAGCTCGTCTAAATTATATTTAAAAATTCAGTCCGTACCGCGAAGTAAACACAACACTTCATCAAACGCTGTTTGAGGAAATGATCGCTGTTCACAATGGGAATAATACGAAACTCGATGAAGATTTAGTGGCTAGCGAAAGATTGTCAGGCCTACCTGCTAGGTGGGGTGGGGTGGGGTGGGGGGTTAACTGAGTGTCTGAATGACCTGGGGCGTACAATCCGGCGCGGTGCTGGCACCACTGTCAATTAAAACAGACAACAACTGAAGGATAGTTTAGCCGAAACAATGCCTGCACTTCAATTACAGCTCCCAATTAGAGAAACAGAAGCCGGCATTGTCTACTCGAGTGACAAGTGACAAGGGACAACCTTCCTTAATCAAATCTTTTGTCTCTGCAACTCAGAAGATCGCGCCCCGTGTTTTAGAGGGCTCTCGACAGTCTGCTGCCGCCGGCCGTAACATGGTCGAGCTACAATATCTGAGTAAAACCACGAAACAAGATGCAATGCAACTCCTATCAGCTAGTAACGCCGTGGTATTTCACAGTGCCTTTACATTCGGTTCATGTTTCTAAAGATTAAATCATCGTATTTATTGCTATTTGCCAAATTTGCGCGGCGTCAGCATCTTGAAAAAAGCCGGCCACGACAGCTTCTTCATTGCATCGATGTGGTCAGTTCAAACAAACAAAGAAACAAATCCAGGCAGCGTGTGACTGGTCGTGGTTCGAATCAAGTACCTCCACAATACGTGGCGCATACACACCTAAGTTGTGGATAAGCGGGGCTTTGCCCCTGCGCGGCTTCGTTCGGAGAAAAAAGAAAACCCGACTGTCTTACGAGGAACCTCCTCGACTTCAATCAGCGGGCCTCTTCGTATTTGTATACGGACGAAGACTTAAATTCAATTTCGACATAAGTTACTTGAATCAGGGACAGAAACGAGGCATCTCAACATCGGCTTAACCAGTCACTTCGCAGCCTCTTATAATTTGAATATCATCATTAAGTTTCCTTCATTTTCCAACCACTAGTTAATGTGAATATTTTCTCTCCGTGCGTGCTACACGCATGACTGTGCTCGGCAAAACCACCCGATCATTTTCAGAAACTCCTCGCTGCTTGGCTTATTCGTTCCTCTTTATTTATTTCTTCAGAGTGAGTAGCAATAAATACGATCCATCTCGGGTCAAAGTGCAGCTTTCGCGATAATCTTTAGGCATCAAGTTTAGTGAAATTTGGGTTGGGGCAGGGAGTGCGTCGAACCACAAAACGCGCTATTCATAAACGTGACAGCCTAATCGAGGTATGACAACAGCAGTACGACATCGCAGTCTGATGCTCCCGGAAGCTCAGTAGACAATGCGCGGCGCTGCCGGATGGTTTCACGCGATTTCACGGCCCGTCGGACGCTTACACGCGCAATAAACTGTTGATCGCCCACCTGGTGCGACAATCAGGCCACAAAAAGAACCGCATCACACACACACGCGCGCTGAATTAAGCCAGCAACTCGCGTACACGCAGAGGCAGGGCGGTCGAAAAGGACACGGAGACGAGAAGACATCTTAGTTCAGAGTCGCATTTACGTGCTAGTAACGAACTCCGAAATGTTGGTGTTCTCTCCAAAATTCTCCCAAAGTCCTACTGTTGTCCACGACATCATCCAAAGTTGCATATCTCTTTCAGATTTTGAAGTCCTGCTTTCCCTTGGTTACTCCGTCGTTTATCTTTCTGAGATCAAACTATTGTACCGCTAGTTTTCTTGTCGATGGCCCCTCCATATGCTCCGAAACCACCAAATAGTGGTCAGTATCACAGTCAGACCGTCTCAAAGATCGGACATCAAATATACTTGGCTATCGTCCCCTAACTATCAAGACGTGATCGATTTGAGTGTGTGCCTTTCCATCGGCAGAAGTGCATTCATTTTACTATGTGGGAACTCTGTACTCTTCACAAATAGATATTTTGACGTGTCATTACTAGCCTCATGTAAATTCTGATCCCCTTTGCCGGTTTAAAAATATATTCTCTCTCCAATTTTGCATTGAAATCTCCCTAACACTTCCATGCAAACTCATCGAACACACGTTCTACTCCACACCAAATGTCTCTTAGTAAGACACGTGACACCCTTCACCAACAAACTCTCTTGACCGTCTTAACTGTTGATACGATCCCCTTATGCAACGAGTAGCCTGTCTGTTAGTGATGATCGGCATTGCCTCTGCCACACACGAATGTGCAATCGTCTGCTGGTTCAGTGCCAGCCTTGTCCATGTGAATTCCTGAACTGCCGGCAAATCTAAATCTTTTGATACTTTTTAAAAGAACTTTGCCTACGCATATCAAATCTAAAACTTCTTGACGATGGTGAAGAGTCAATTGAATAAAAATTTACTTGGATATTATCCATCGTCTAGTAATAAAACGTAAAAAAACGTAAAACGACGTTTCGGAGATAGGGATTAGCTCTATCTAGTGGGCCCAACTGAGTAGGAACCTGAAGACGGAGATAGAGTCCCATCTCCGAAACGTCGTTTTACGTTGTTTACGTTTTATTACTAGACGATGGATAATATCCAAGTAAATTTTTATTCATTTGCCTACGCATGTTCATTTTCCGTCTCTAAGGCCGTTCCATTGAATGTCTTAAACCCAGGGTCACGTGTAAGATTTCATAACACGCTGTTCTTTTGCGAATTTCTCGCCCATCCCCCAAGAGCAGGCCTACCCCTTGTCAGCTGTTCGCGACTGATTAGCTGTAAGACCACCCCTTGAGGAGGTCGTCGTCATCCGCGCCCTAACGTAACGTCAAGGAATCCTCTTAACATCGAGTCGACTGGAAAATCAGCAGAAAGAACGCAAATAGAAAATAAAACAAGATTCCAGCATAAAATCTTTATAAAGTTGGACTTCTTCCCCCCTCTCCAGTGACGTCAGCATGCGTTCGATAACTCAGTGTGCACCCGAACGGCAACCAGCAGCGTGCCCCAGTCCTGACCGCAGGCATCGGGCAGCATCTGCCAGTTACACACCGTGCCGCAGTAGCCACGCCACCATTAAGACGATTTCTTCGTATTTATAGTTTTAGGTGGACTTAGCGTCAGGCCTTCATTTGCCAATTCAAAAAAGTTCGGGTCGATCACACGGGAGTGATCCGACGCAAAATTACCGCCCAACGAAACAGGACTATTAATAAAATCATGGGATATGCGAGAAATGTATACAGAAATTTTTAGTCGGAAAACCTGAAGAGAATCGACAACTTGTGAGACACAGATGGAAGGATAAAATTGAAATATTCACTTTACACAGAAATACGTGACTGGATTCAAATAATTCAAAGAAGGTTCCATAAGATAAGGGATCTTTGCTGGTCGTATCAGCGACTACCAGATTAACAAGAAGGCATCTGTTTCGTGCAGATAACCCGCAACTGTAGTGGCAAAGTTATCCCTGTGTTTAGTTAAGTACCACACCGTGAAGGTGTATGGGGGGAGTGGAGATATAGTTCCACGCATTCTTAACATGGGATTTAGATGAAGGTTAAGTTGTCAGATTCACACACTTCTACCACGATAAAGTCCCCAGGGGTGTGCCGGTCTGTAAGCGTTCTCCGTCAATCGCACTTGGCCAAAGAGAGACAGTTTGACTGCCCCTGACGTGGACAGTCAGCGCGAGGTTAGAAATGTAATGCAATTTGAAGTCTTGTCAAATTGACGGACTGGGCAGGGATTACCAGTGGGGAGCAGAAACACCGATAATATTGACATTAGCGATTTGACGGCTCTCCCCCCCCCGCCCCGCCACCCCCTAAGTGGTTTTTAAGAACCCCCACTCACCCCATGTTTCACTGTTGCGGGGAACCACCGCGGACCCTACAACTGAAAATTATTGACATTATTTGAGATTAAATTGGGATTGAAAAAATGCTGCAAGGGAAAAGGGAAGAAGAAAGAGCCCTCTATTAGCTCTGAGTCTGTAGCTCGAACCAACCCCTTGGGAGAAGGGTTGGAGTGGGTTTAAAGTATTGAAACCGAGCGAGGTCTTGGTTGAACTAGCGGTTAGGGGTGTGCAACCGCGAGCAGGGCTGACAACCTCTTGAACTACGAACTGCGGCAACTTCATCACTTCTCTGTCAGAGAAGACAACTGCGACTTTGCACACGAAACACTGGCCCTGATGTTCATTTATCGTAGACAAAATCTACTCTGCAACCGCGATTGGTGAACCAGATTAACTTACGGCGAAACGCGGATAAGTTACGGACGGAACTCTGCCCAGGGATCGACATTTATCAACATTTCTCTATACTTTAAGCTATTTGCGCTTCAGATTAATTTTCAGATTCGTGTAAAATAAGGGTTACTGGACGATCGGTAAGAACACGAAATTCACTCTACAAATTTCAGTGCCAAATCTAACCCCAAGACGAAATTAGATTGTGTAAGTAGTTTCGCAGTTTGAGTTCACAAGAGACGGACGGACGGACGCACATGCATTCGCTTCGCGATCTTTGAACAAACAATGCTCAGACAGTTTGGTCGAATTTAGAATACGAGCGAACCAGGAACCTGAGTTAGCTCAGTAGCCTGGGTTTGGTGTGGAAGTAAGGAACAAAGGTAGATGGCATTGCTAGCAATCGTGGGCAGGCCGTCGCCGTGATCGGGGCATCCCTTGTGTTACCTGCGATTGCGAACGGCGTTAAAACTCGTCGATATTTAAATATTTAAACTTCACCACGGACACAGTTCGTGCTGGAGAAACACAGATTAGTGTTAAGCATCGTTACTTGCGCAATACGGCTGTGGGCATTATCACGTTTCTTAAATTCAAAAGCCAATCTAGACCGGACATGTAGCACGCACGAGGAAACCAGAAACGAGTATACAATTTTTCCTTGAAATCGTCACTGAACGACGTCACCTGAAATCCGAGGCAGAGAGGACAGCAATATCGATTGGTTGGTTATTTAACAATGTCGTATCAAATATTAATCCATGACTATAGAATTAGATGAGATGATTGTGCTCGGGAGAATCGGAAATTAGTGAGGAGGATGCAGCTGTGACCTGCTTCAACATATTTTTGAGTTGTCCAGCGACCTGCTCAAACTCGGGCGCGCATGGAAGCTGCCGTCTCAAAAACACGGACAGCGCGTATCGGCTAGGCAGAGATACAAGGATTCAAGAACGGAGATGAAATATCGGGTGCCTGCTGTTGAGAAACAATCCAGATGCAAGTTAGAATACTCCGTCCAGAAACTCTCTTCCAAGGTTGCATTTGTAATAAAACTTTCCCACAGTCTCCACGCGCAGTGAAACTTCCTGCCACGACGCGACTCAACAGAGGATCCTCGACCCTTTAGACCTCAGACCAGTGGTAATTATACCTACCACCTGCTCTAACGCTTAACAAGTCTTCATTTTACGATTAGGGTTCCATATGATTCTCAGTGTAAACAGCGATAATCTTTCTAAAGGTGAAGTGTGGTGTTTTCTTTGCGGTGCGGACTGAATCTTTAAATGTCATTTAGATTAGTTTCTACTTCAGAGGGTTAAAGAAGAACTGACCGGCGTGTTCGCCCAGACTGCGCAGGCAGGCGCCAGTACCACCTATCAAGCGCGCAGTTCCCACAGGCTCAAGCTGTTCGCCCACTTTTCTTTGTTCACGCAATGTTGACGCGGATCCAGTCGAGGGCCTCTCCATGCTCTGTGCCAGCAGCGCTGCACACCTCGAGTGCCGGAACGTGCCAAACTGGCAAAATTACCAGCGACTCCCTCGACAGCCAAGCTTTGAAACTATTCATCAACAAGTGACGCGCCAGCCGAGGATCGAGGATGCTGGCTGGTCTGGCCTGTCGCACACCTCAGTGGCCGCGATATACGAATGCAGTGACTTCAGTTTTGTGAGCGCCCTGTCCGCGATCTATTCCCAAATAATAATGCAGGCTGGATGAATATTTACGTAATTCAGTACTTACGGATACCTATAGATATTTAGGCCTATAGATCGAAGAGTTCTGACCAAAGTTGAACAAATCCTGACGACGTTGGTCTTATGGGTCTTGGCGCCGTGTAAACTCGTCGGCAGATTCTAGCATTTCAGAGAAATAATACCTCGAATTTTAGCCCTGAAAATGGAGGCAGTATGCTTCCCCGAAAGGTTGGCTTGTACCGATGAGTCTACATGGCGCAAGACCCAGAAGACCAACGTCATCGTCTTCACACGAATGGACCCTGTCTGACGTCTCATGTCCCTTGTGTTTCTACCGCCCGCAGGTTTGGTTCCAGAACCGGCGAGCCAAGTGGCGGAAGGCAGAGCGCCTCAAGGAGGAGCAGAGGAAGCGGGAAGAACAGGAACGGGGCGGAGCCATCGCGAAACAGGACTACAAGGACGCGGCGGTGGCGCCCGGCGCCGAGGTGAGCGAATCCAAACAATCAAAATTCAGCAGCCGAGTCTGTTAAATCAACAACTCGGTCAGGAGACATTAAACAATCACAATTCAGTCACGGAGGTGAGTAAGCAGTGACTCAGTAACGCAATCACTAGTCGTTCACATGGCCAACCAGTCGCAAATCAGAGATCCGCTGGGGCGACGGCCGCAGAGTCGCTTTCGGCTGAGCTGACATCTGCAAGCCCACTTACGCGGTTCTTCCCCCAAGTGAGGGCAACTTCAGAATAGACGCATATAACATCAAGCAGTTGTAGCGCAGCGATACGCGAACAGAAAGGAAATAAATAAAAGAATAAGATTAACAAAGTTTCGGAACCGGACGGGCGTATCTCGTACCAAAAGACACTTTTATTGCATTCTGCAAGAAAGAGAACAAAGGAAAAGTTTTGATATAAATTCGTATTCATTTAGAAGGCGCGCTTTGTCTCTGCGATATGTATTCAGGAAAAGCGAATTTCGTAAAAGTTTGTTCAGTGTGCACCTTCCACGTTCTCTCGCTCAACTGTGATACATCCACCGTGAATCTGCACTTTTATCGCCGTCCCAACTTTACAGGCCACGTTATTCAAATGTTTCTGCATGTTACGCC